CCCTACAGCTAATTGGACAGAATGATTGTTCCATTATGTTCCCAAGTGGCAGAAAACAGCTTCAAAGTGTAAATGAATCTGATTAGATGGCTTAATTGCAACAAAATAAGACTATATTTTATCTTTACATAATTAGAAATAATGGAAGTAACACTCCAACTATGTGATACTGATATTGCTGTGTTCTTTGACTTTTTTTTTTAGTTAAAGTTGTGAGTAACTTGCAGACTAGCTACAGAATAACTGATCATCACAGAAGTAAATATTGTGATACCTGGAAAGTCAGTGTTGAACAGAAGGAAATGTTGTTAGAGGATACTGAAACTTTAACTCTCCTTGGTAGTTATATATCAATGGAAAGGTTGGAGGGGGGATGTAATTGTTCAGCTTAGTCTAATACAGAACATTGGCCCTCGAAGTGACACCCAAATATTACAGGCAGTTGTTCTGTTGAGCTTGTCCACGTGTTCAGTTGTGTCACTTTTCGAAGGAATAAATAGGCTCTATTGGTATATTTCTTGAATGGTTGATTATAGTCCTGCAAACCCATCATGTGTTTAAAAGAATACTATTATTCTTTCTTTTCTAGGTCACCTTTACAAAGAGGAAGTTTGGATTAATGAAGAAGGCATATGAGTTGAGTGTACTCTGTGACTGTGAAATAGCACTCATCATTTTTAACAGCTCTAACAAACTCTTTCAGTATGCCAGCACTGATATGGACAAAGTTCTACTTAAATACACAGAATACAACGAGCCCCATGAAAGCCGAACCAACTCAGATATCGTTGAGGTAACAATATGAAAAGACACATCAGTTTTCTTATCTCCTTAACATTTTAAATGTAGAGCAATATAGAGTATTTTAAGATATTTTAACCAAATGTATTTAATAATTTGAAAACCTTGTCATAAAATGTGAGCTACTGCTGTTAGTCTGTTTTTTCTAAGGCAGTAAGTTGTCTTTACAGCCATGTTGTTTTCCCATCTGCCCTCCACCCCCTGCCAGTTTCTAGAAAATATGCTTGATTTCAACCACATTTGGCAATGGGAATAGAGGTGTGAAAGATGGTTGTTTTTCTGGGAGAGGGGGAAGCGTTCAGGGTTTTCATGGAAAACATCGACTGGATGGAGCATAAGGTCCAAAGAGTGCCCTCAGCCTGACAATTAGTGTTGGCTGCTTTTCTGAGGCAATAGCGACTTTACTAGTCAAATGCTGCACTCAGATCAAATCAGCTACTGCCTGTGCTGCTCCTTCTTCAGCCAAGAAGACAGCCCCGAAGTAAATATATGGAGCAAATGAACGTAATTGAATTTGTTGTCCAGTCACTCTGTATGTCAGTTAAACAGCAGTAGAACAATTACAGTTTCTGCAGTAGTAGAACAGCATGAATATACTTACTCAAAGGTATTGGTTTGCTCGACTTTTATTATGCTGGTGCTTTAAATAGTAACTCTTTCCAGTACATAATTGCTAAATTAGGTGCAGTAGAAATCAAGGATTTTCTTGGCAGTTGGAGCCTTTCTGCACTGTAACTGCATTTCAGATAAGTCATGTCTCCAGTAGTCCTGTAAATAGACCAAAACAGGTGGCTGACTTCAGTGTTTAATTTAAATTCTGAAGTTGTCTTCTGAACAAATGCTTTGCTTTTTAGGAATGATTTAGGAATAGTGATTAGCCTTGTATAGCTAAAGAGTTCATTGCCGAGGGGATCACAGGGTACAGGCTGGATAATAGCTGATCCTGTGAATAAGTTTTCAAGCAAAAATCTCATTGAAAAAGCTGAGAAAGGCAAATGCCTTGTATTTCTTTCTGAGAAGATTTCTCTGATAATTTGTCAGCTGCCTTATGTCAGTGTTGAGTATTAGTAAGAGTGATAATACAAAATATGAAGAGTTGAAGAAATATTACTAGGATTAGTATAAATAAGGGATAGCCACGGCAGAGTTAGGGAAAACCCAGTCCTTTCAAGATTTGCTTTTGATTGTGATAGACATGAATTTGAGATCGGGATGCAAGCAAGTCGAGTAGCCAGGCTGCTTTTTTATTCTGCATCTAAGGCCTCTTTGTGTTATGACCTGTGGTAGTAGTGCTTCGTTACAACATGGGGACTAAGAACCATAATCATTTCTACACAAGGCTGATGTAGATTTATTTCTTGATGGCTTTTTTTAGACAAGTGTCAAGCATTTGACCCCTGACAACTACATCAAAAGTGCATCTGTGGTTTCTCTTCTGGGGGAACATGCGAGGACCCATCTGCAGATTCTTTCTAATTTTCCTCTCTAGGCTTACTGTATTACACTAATGTGGGATTTGGGGCTTTACTGTCACTTTTTAAGCATCCTGTAATGTAGGAGTGCATCTCCCCATCTTTTCAGATTACCCTTTGGGCTCATTAGTCTCCTTGAAATATTTTTTGTGGGGGTTTTTTCTTCCTTCTTAGAAAAAAGTTCTATAGCTGGAAAGGGGAGTGTATATACATTTTTGCAGGGAAAGTATGTTCTTTAAGTTTATGGCTCTGTTCTGGGTGGGAAAATGAAATCAGGGTGAAATATTTACAAGCTCAATATATTTCAGGTAAATTGATGATTTTTCTCTGTTGGATTCCAGGAAAAAAAATTGTGTTCAGTATTTCAGAGAGATATTCCACAGTTTCATTTTTTGCAACTGATTCCATTTCAGATTTGCTCCACTTGTTTATTAACTTTGTGATCTATTAGCTATTGTTCTCTATGGAATTAGAGATATCATTCATGGTTGGGATCAGATGCTGTGCTTCCCAGTGTAAGTAAATAATGTCTATAATTTAGAAAAGCTTTCATTTTCATTATAAAATTATCTACTTTTTTGCTTCACAACAGAACTGGTTCAGGGGAGAGTATGATGTGCTTTGGAGTAGATGCAATTACATGTTCAGCACAAGTAGGGAGGAAAGATGAGATGGGGGGACTAAGACACCTGTGTTTAAGCAGTAGCAAGTTGCCAGAAGCTCACTGCTTCATGTAATGTCACTGTTGAGGGATGCTTGTGTGTGGTCGAGGTGAAGTTACAGCACCAGCATTTTGGAAAGAACAATGTAAAATGGCTTCTCTTTATCATGCTCACACAGAAATACTGTTTTAGCAATTAGAAGTTACAAAAAATACCCAGCTAAAAATCTGCCAAGTATATACTAAACCAGTTTAGAATAAGTAATTCCATTTTATGGAGTTACAGTTGATATATTTGTCTTAACATTTTAGTAATTCACTTGCCTCCTTGAATATGACAAGTGGTATTTATTGTGATGGAGGCTCACCGTGAGTCTACTCTTGACCCACTGTGGTCCTGATATGCAAGACAGGAAGGTCGTTTTGATTTGTGTTTTGCTGTGCTAGGAGGAAAGCTAATTCTACACAGCTCAGAAGCTGTATAAGGGAAGAAACAAATCTACTGTTACTTATTTTCAGTACTGGGTAGATGGCAATGTTGTAAATGATTAAGTGAAATCAATGAGACATCTTCCCCTTATAGTTCCCTCCTGTTCAATTTTGGCATAGGAATTGCTTTCACATGCCCAGAGCTTGGTATCTTCTGTTGCTGCTGGAACGTTTGTGTGAAAACATAGTAGGAGGGAGAGCACTGGCATCTTAAATGAATACAGGAATTTTTTTGGTACATGCCCTTATGTCTTTCACTGTACACGTTACTGTAGATGTGAATGCTCTGTTGCTGTCCTATACCTATTGGTTTCCATTTATTTTTTTTCCCCTTTTACGTGTTTTTTTTTGTTGGTCCCACTTTTAGTTTCTGTAAGTATTTCCTTGTCCTTCCCCCCCTTTTTTTCCCTATTCAGTTTCTAAACAGTTTACTTAACAATAAATTGTTGGCTTCTTTACCTCTTTCTTGCCACGGAAAGAAGTTTTAATACAAGTTTAGTTTTCTAACTATCAGTAGTATACTTGGGGATGGTCCTTTCCCTGCCATTTGGTACTTTTAAAATTAAGGGAGAAGATCTTGTAACACTTGGCCTGTAACCACTTTTAAAGGATGATTTGTGTGGCATTTTTGATCTGGGATTCAACCTTTGTGATCTTTGACTCTTTTGCTGTTTGAATCTGTTTCACAACATTGGGTAAGAAGAGGTGAATAGGGCAACCAGGTTTATTTGGAACACTTATAATCTTCAGAACCTACACAGGTCTGTGAGAAAATGCCCTTTCTTATCAGGATGAGGCACAATTGACCCCTTAATGGGGTTTTTAGATTAATTTCTGCATCCCCCTGAAACACACAAGGTGAACACAGCTAGTGTTGGTGAGGACAGTGAAACTTTGCTTACGATTGCTGATCTGACCTTCTAGTAAAAGGTTATTTACTCAGGAGGTGGTGAGTGTAATTTTCCTTCAAGCCTCATGAAAGGAAAAATGCTTATCTTCTGCTGAAATTAAAAAATAAGCTTTTAAATATGAATTCAGAAACAGAAATTATCATTAAAAAAAAGTTTTGATGTTTCTTCCTCTTGGAGAATATGGTCCTTTTCACATCAGGTGAGAGGGTTTGTTCTGCAGCATGGTAAGTTTTTATTAGTCTTATTTCTTCATAGGTATTTGAGGAAAAGCCAGTGCTTTTGGACAGGTCAGGTGGAACATACAGGAATATTGGAAAAAGTGAGGTTCTCATCCAGTGTGTGCTTTGACTTCTTGAAATATTAGGGATCCTGTATTTGGTTTTACAAAGCTGTGCTGGCACAGCTGAAGATTGATAAGCTGAAGTACTGTCTGTGATTTGAAGGACTTGCCGTAGGTGTTGCAGCATTTGATACTTAAATGCTCGTGGCACTTTTTTCTGTAACACGTTATTCTTGGCAAGTGATTATTTTTCCTGAAGAAAGAAGCAGAGTACTTCTGTAGAGTAAAATGGGAGGAATGTCAGGTTTTATCAGGATTCTGTATCCATCTGGTCAACAAAATGTTTTAATGTATAAAAGACAATTTGAGACTGTGACCGTTCTTTCTTCATGAGCAAGTACTTGTGCTCAACCCTCTGCAGTGTAGGGCGTGTTAAGATTATTACAGGTTATCTACAAGGTAACACTTCCATGGTGGGTCCTTCTGTCCCTCAGAGGGCCTCAAAAAGCAGCAGTTCAGTTGTTCCCTTTCTTCCAGCCTCAGTCTTCCTGGGAGTCAAAGGCTGAAGACAGGCTCTTCTTGCCTGTTTAGCTCAACTTCCTACCTCTTTTCTATGTTTTGATGTTCCTTGAGTGATACAGCAAGCCAGGATTTATTTCACCTACACTTGGCCCTGGGTGGGTTGTGCATGTTCTATCATATCACCTCATTAAAGTGAAGTGATTTGATTTTTAGGAGCCTGTCTAAAATATGACCTACTTTGCTGGTTGGCATCTGTGCCCATGAGAATTTCAGATAGCTGTCAGTTAATAAGCCTCTTCTGCAGTGTATAGTTTAATGCTGTCTTCAGCATAGTATGATGTGCTGTATAAGGCTTAGGTTATACCCCAAATACTGACAGTTGTCCTTGAAATATGCAATAATCTGTAATAAAAACAGTAACTAAAAAGTGCAAAGAATAAATCCTAAACTATATCAAGTAACTACTGTAAACATACTCTTGTGAAAAGGCTGATATATTGGAATAATCATAATTGTTTCTTGATGAAAGCTACAGCAAGTGATTTGGATGTTTGTATTAAATCTCTTAACTTGGGGAATGGTGACTCTAATAGGAAGTAATGTTTGTCATGGTTTGGTGTGATAGTAGTCATGTCATGGTTTTGACAGGAGCAAGAC